CGCTGTGTATGACCTCGCACGCTCCAGTAATGCCACTGGTATGCCCATAAATCTTTCTACTGAACCTCCCATTTGTGACGATTGCATCCTTGGTAAACAGACCAGGACTAGTATCCCGAAGGTTTGTATGGGGGATAGGGCTACTAGGAAGTTAGGGATTGTGCATGTTGACCTCATGGAGCATCCAGACACTGTTTCAGCTGTGGGTAATCAATATGTGATGGACATTATTGGTGATTTCTCATCTTATGCTTGGGCAATTATGCTTGCATCAAAAGTGGATGCCCCTCCTGCACTACAGGCCTGGGAATGCACACGTGAACTCGAACTTGGGCTGAAGGTTGGTACTTATCACTCTGACAATGGTGAACTCAAGACTACGTCCATGCAGGAGTGGCTCCTCTCATGTGGTACACAGCACCAGTTTACCACCCCCCACACATCTGCGCAGAATGGTCGTGTTGAATGCTTGCACTGCACTCTCATGGGGAAGGCTCGTGCTATGCGATCTGCTTGTAATGTGCCTGTGAACCATTGGGATGAGTTTGTTCTGACCGCCTGCTACCTCTCTAACCGCACTCCTGTGTGTTTGCAAGCTGGACATACACCTTATGAATGCTGGTTTGGGCACAAACCTGACCTATCTCATCTTCGCAAAGTTGGCTGTCATGCTTGTGTCCTCATCCAGAACCAGCACAACCCTATGGTCTACAACCGTTCCATTGAGTGTGTTCTGATTGGCTACTCACTTGACTCAAAAGCCTACCATTGTTATCATTGTGTGTCTCATAAGGTCTATTACGCGAAACCTCTCAGATGAGATCCGGCGACGCTAAACCTGTAAAGGGTGTTCGAAGTGTGGCCTTCAGCACTAGCCCAGCAAGGAGCTTGCCTGCGCTAAGTCTGAGTAAGGGTTGAAGCCCTTACTTGTGTAGAGTCAATTGGAGTTTCTCGAGGATATGATCCAAGAGACAGGATTCAACTCAAGAGACAATGGTTCTGTGTACAGAGGGAGTTCTCTTTAGGTAAGAGAAGTTCAGACCCAATGACAAGTTCAGATGAGAACCGAGTAGATTCAAGTTAGAGAACCTATCTACAAAGAGGAGTAATATATATACGTAAAGTGAGATACCGGTGGAACGGTAAGGGTACAGGGTACAGAGGTAGTACCGAAGTAATGGTAAGGGTTGAGGGTATGTATGAGTCACATACTGAAAAGGGTAGGTAGTACCGGTTGAACGGTAAGGGCAAAGGGCATGGGGAATCCCCATCAATGAAGGAACCAATATAGTGGTTAGGGCATAGGGTTTGGAAGAAGCCGTGGCTTTTGTGATATAGGGGTAGAAGTGAGAGCTTCTTGCATTTCAGAACAATGGGATCAAAAAGAAAGAGATAAGAATAGAATCGTAACCATGGTCCAGGTCTCAATGCATCCAAAGAATGAAATGACGTGTAATGCTCATGTTACTGTAACAAGGTCTTTGTCTCTCCTTTATAGAGTCTCACAATGCTTGCCACACACCTCTTCAACCTGGTGTTGTTCTCAATGACTCTGATGCTGGTGATTCCAACACCTCTCTGGTCTCTGAACCTTCTCCTGCATCTGTTCCCCTGCCTGTGTCACCACCTGAGCAACCTCCAGCCCTACGTCAATCTTCTTGTGTTCCTGTATCTTCTGAGAAACGATGCACTGCAGAGGGTAAGTCTTTTGTCTCTGCAACACAGTGTGCTGTTCAGACCACCGCTATCACTGCCGAGCATCTGCAGGCACTCCCCCCCAGCCCCACACTCACATCTCCCTTCCCTGTTGTCCCTGATGTGTTTGCTGCTGCGCTCTCTGAGGAGGAGCTTGCTCGTCTCACTGATATTTTCACGGCCATGCCTGACCACCTTGAGAATGAGATGTCCGATGATCCCTCTACCTACTCCGAAGTCATGGCATCTGATAATGCCACCGAGTGGATGTCAGCCCTCCAGGAGGAGTTTGCCTCTCTCAAGGACCTTGGTGTGTACAAGCTTGTTCCATGATCTTCTGCTCCCCCTGGTCATAAAGTTAGGTGCAGACGTCCCATTTTCAAACTGAAACACAATCATAATGGTAACCCAGCGCACTTTAAGGCTCAATATGTGTGCAAAGGCTACTCTGCTGTCTGGGGCCAAGATTATACTAAGACCTCTGCACCAACCACTCGTATGGAGTCTTCCATGTTCTTGCTCACCTTGGCACTGCTCTCAACTGGGAAATTGATCAGATCGACATCAAAATGGCCTTCCTTCATAGCCTTCTCGACTCTGATGAGGTATGCTACATGGAGCAACCCAAGGGCTTTGTCAAACCTGGCAAAGAGGATCATGTCCGGGAGTTACAAAAGGCTTTATATGGGATGAAGCAGGGAGGTTTTGTCTGGAATTGCACCTTGAACCAGGCCATGCTGTCCTGGGGGTTAATCCGACTCAAGTGTGAGCATTGCATCTACTACCGTCGCACTGACGTGGGTATTCTCCTTGTCACTATCCATGTGGATGATTTCTTCACCGTCAGGAGTTCCAAGGGTGTTATTTCTTCCTTTAAGGACCAACTGCGCACAAAGTGGACCATCTCTGACCTTGGTGAAGCTTGGTTCTGTCTTGGCATTGCAATTGAACGTGACCACACAGCGCGCACTATCTGCCTTTCTCAGGGTCCTCTAATCGACTGTGTTATTGTGCAATTTGGTCTTAAGGATGCAGTACCTATCTCCACTCCTATGGAACCTGGGCTACACTTGTCCCGCTGTCATCATGCACCCTCTACCAATGCCGAATGTGACCTCATGGCACGCACCCCATACCGCTCACTTGTTGGTTCCCTCATGTATATCACTATTGGCACACAACCCAACATTGCCTATGCGGTCCAACAGCTCTGTAAATTCTTAGACTGCTATGGACATGCCCACTGGGAGGCTGCCAAACAAGTTGTTCACTACCTCAAAGGGACTCACAACATTGCACTTACACTCGATGGCGATTACACTGCATGCCTGCTTGGATATATTGACAGCGATCTCACTGGCTGCCCCAATACTTGTCACTCTGTCAGTGGATACTGTTGCACTCTCGGTGGAGGTATGGTCACTTGAAGCGCGCATCAGCAGAAGACCATGTCTCTCTCAACATGCGAGGCTGAATATGTGGCAGCATCTGAAGCTGCATCCGAGATTACCTGGCTGCGCTCCCTCCTTCTAGAACTTGAGTTCACCCAACTCTCAGCCACCCCCCTCCTTTGCAATAACAATGGAAGCATTATCCTCACCGAAGATTCATCATTTCACACGTACGTCAAGTGGATTGATATCAAGCACCATTCCAGTCATCAAAAAGTTGAACTTGGCCAACTCAAACTACACTATGTGCAATCCAAAGACAACCTCACCAACATCTTCACTAAACCACTGCCACACAAAGACTTTGAACACATCCAGGAATGCCTTGGCCTACAGTGAACCAATTGAGGAGGAGTGTCATATACCTGATCCGACCGCTTCAATATCAATATCCTCTGCACCTTCTGACCACTTCTGCCCCATCCATCCTCTGCTCCATCCAATCACAGTCTGCATCCACTCCTACGCTTCCACTCGACCGCCCGACCAGTCACCTTCTAGAATGTCTCCACTCAACTGGAACCTCTTTCCCCTTTTAGATATATACTTTCCCCTTCGGTACATAGACCCTTACTTCCGGATCACCGGTAACTCCTCTTACCGCTCAATTGCTGATCCAATGCATACATATTGATATCCGCTCCGACTTATGTCTTCGCCTGTGTAAGTACTTACAAACTATATCCTTGGTACACAACTTTATAACATAAGTCTCCTAATCACTGCCTCACACTTAGAAGTATATAACATATCCTGTACTTAGATATTTTCCCCAGTCTTAATATTACTTGTCTTCTTACAGTTTCTACTTGTGAGAATTCTCAGTAGGACCTTGCCTCCTCTGGACACAAGTTTCGTCCTGTTGTCACCTCTGACTTAGAGCCATGCTCTAAGTCTCCCCCTTTACTTCTCCACCCCTATCAATCATCCCCCTTTGCTCCTATCCACCCTCTGCCTTATCCTCTGCCTTCTCTGCTCCACTTCTAGTTGGCCCACCACTATTAGCACTTACCTCCCAACCCTCAAAGTGGACCAAAGCAGACCACTCATCCTATCATCGGACAATGTTGGACCCACTCCAAATTCAGGGCACATACTCGGCTAAGGGCGCAGCGCAAGAGCTGAAGCCAAGCCCCGACCCCTCCGCTTCTTGAGCTCGGCACGGTACCTAACAAGGAGTGTTGTTGGACACACATCAAGGAGGAGTGTTGATGCATGAGCGAGCACATAAGTGATGCAGCACAACAACACGTCGGAGTTATACCACAGGGATACGAACCACAATATATATACCCGTCTTGTTACATATGCCTCTTCCCTCAGTCCATTACATGAGCTGAGGGTAAGTTGTCTTTTCATCCCGCCGTACTTAGTGCTGCCACAGTCCGGTTCTCCACAGTTCAGTCCATGGTTCTGACATCAGTCAGAACCGGACCATTTTCTGGTTCTCAGTTCTGGCTCCTCCCGAACTGTTCCATTTCGGTTTGGCCTTGCCCAACCATTCTGAACCCTTGTCAATTCTTACTTCAACATCACTTACCTGGACGTCAGACCGACCTTCAGGATTTGCACTGTTGGTAACCTGGTCAGGCTACATTTAGCCTTTTTGAAGGTAAGTAGTAACCAATTGAACTTTCAATTCTCTCACCCACTGACATATGCTTATTTATGTCACAGATATTTGTTTCTTTAAGTCTCTACATCTTCCTAGATGATTATGATCCTCCACTGGCTTTTTACTCTGACTTATCTCCTAGGATACCAATATTCTGTGATATGCTGGTGTTTTCTCCATGCTCTGTGTACAAAATGAGGTGACGACAACGAAATCATGAGTTAGTTATCTCCCTGAAAATGTCTCAAGACTCCTGTGCTCTCAATGCTTATGGCTCCCTCAAGGACGCTTCTGAGATCAAGTTCTACAACGATCCTGATGACGATGTCCCATTGCCACAGGTCCCATCAGCAGCATCCATGACAAATGCCTTCTCCATTCTACTCAAGGCTGGACGCACCCCAGCAACTGTCACAGGTGGTTCTTGGCACTCTGGCTGCCCTACAAAGCCCTCAGCTCATGTTCATGATGCTGACAATGCCTGTTCTTCATCCTCGGGCACAAGGAAGTGTGTGTGTGCATTATCAAGCACTGTGGCAGACCCTCCAGCACCTAAAAAAGTCACTATGTGATTCTTGTCTCCTCTGTATCCTGACGACAAGGATGACGAGGTTGTCCCTTCTTCTCCCCCTGATCTAGACAAACCAGGCAAACCATCCTCTGATGAACCAATCCCTCAACCAGACAATGACAAGGCTGATGAAGCTCAATCCAAGAGTGGAGACACCACTCAGACAGTATGTACCTCTTATACTCATCGTCTTCCTTCACTAACATTCATGTTTAGGTTTCCAAAAGTGAATGTACAGCAGGTGTCCATACAATATTCACCCGTGCTTCTGACAGGTGGGTCTGCAACCTGTGCAAGTAAGTTGATTGTCTATTTTTTCAATTGTTTCTAACTTTGTATAAGGGCTGCTGGTGAACCAGTCTCAAGGCACACATTTCATGGTGGCACTTCAACATTGTGGACGCACATTGTGTGCAATAAATGCACTCACTTTCAAGTATACCAGGAACACTGTGAAGCTGCAGGCACCACAATGCACGCTCATGCAATCCCACCTGGTGAAGATATGACTGTGACGCAAACAACTCTCAATGCCAGCCTTGTCTTGAAGCCGCCCATATTTACCAAGGAAGGGTTACTTGAATACATCATGGAATTCATCGCGACGGAAGACAAGGCAATACAGTTAATTGATAAGCCAACATTTTGATGTTTGCTGCAGTATACACATCCATCTTTAACCGAAAAAGATATCCCGCATCACACCAAGTTAATGAATACCATCAAATCTCGAGTGACAACCGTGGGCGAAACTATCAAGAACTGTCTGGCGGTGAGTTTTTTCCTGCTTATATTGTCGCAAGTCCTGAAACATTTTGTTAGCATATTGACAGCGCTATTTTGATGATGTTTGATTCATGGACATTGATCATCGGCGAACCTTTTTTTTCCGTCACTGGGCATTACATTTGGAGCCCTCCTGACAAACCACTGCAGTGGGAACTCAAAAATGAGCAGCTTGATTTTGTTCACATTGAAGGCAACCACAGTGGCCAGACTGTTGGCCATATACTTGTTGAGACGATCGACAAGTATGATATTTGCAAGAAGGTTAGTCTGGAGTCTGTCTTGTTTTAGCTATGGATTGACTTTGCCCATAGGTTGGATGGATGATGCCAGATAACGCTTCAAATAATGACACTGCCATGAGGGAAGTTGCAAGAGTCATAAATGAGGATGATGAGGATGGTAGCTGGCTTCTGGGTCCCCATCGCATCCGTTGTCAAGAGCACATCTTAAATCTGGCTGTGCAACACTTTGTTGACGCAGTTGCATCCACCCCTCAGGCAACAATACTCAAAAAGATCTGTCACACTATCAATTGTGGTGAGGATGCTGATGTTGACAGCTTAACTGAACAACTCGCTGCATTGGAGCATGATCCTGAAGCTATTATTGAAGATGGTTTTGATGTTGGTGACGCTGTTGGAAAAGCACTGGCTCTCATCAAACAGGTAAAGTCCCTTTCCTCTGTTTCTTTGTCTTCAAGTTCTTATTGACACAACAAATTAGATTTGCAAATCACCGCAAGCCCAAGCATTCTTCAGAAAATTGTGCAAGGAAGAAGGTGTTGCCGTTCGCAAGATTTTGACATGGGTGAGAACACGCTGGGCATCCTTGTTCAAGTGCCTCAAGCGCTTCTTGTCTCTTTGCCTGGTAAGTGAGACATACAGTTACATAGTATCTTGCCGGTCTCTAACTTAAGATGGGTGCTTAGTTTGATAAGTATTATGAAGCACTGCCAGGCCCAGCATTGCATGTCAAAGAGCCCATGGCCATGTTGACAACAAAAGGTTCTATTTGGTATGGTGAGTCCTGGATGCATGATGCTGTCATGGCACATCAAGCTGCAGACCATTGCACACACAACCCTCATCAAGAGCTTTCCTTATACCTCAATTCACCATTGGAGGAGACGGACAATGTTGTGGCATGGTGGGGTGTAAGTCCACCCTTGATTTCATTTGTTCCTAGCTTACATTCTTGATTACTAGGTACACTTGCTGCAATATCCAACACTAGCTCGTGTTGCGCATGATTACCTTGCCATTCAAGGCAGTCCTGTTCCGTCTGAACGTGCCTTCTCCAGTGGAGGAATCACATCGACTCTGCACCACAATGCACTTGCACCAGCCACACATCAGCAAAACCCTAACCCTATGTGCAGCATTGTGCAGCACTGCACAGCAATCACAGTGTCACAGCAAGGTCCCCCCATGTACAGCACTGCACAGTGTTGCACACTACACAATTTCTCAAAAAAACATAATTGTTAGCATACCATCTTGTTATATATATGTTTGTGACTACATTACACTCATTTTTACATAGAATCAGTACCTGTGTGATGCTGCAGAGCCTTTACAAAAAACTCTGTGTGACCTGTGACACGCTGTGTGGCTGTGGCGCTGTAGCCAAATCAGGGTTTTGCTGATGCACTGCAGTTGATGAAGGCAGCTTATTGGAATGGACATATGTCTGCAGCAGTAGAGGCAGAGGAGCATGCAGCTTGTATGTAATTGGACTAGCTACTCATAGTGTTGTTCCTGGCTCGGCTTGAGGCCGTGAGCCAGGCCTGGCCGGTCCTATTTAGGCCGAGCCTAGCTGGGCCTTAAGGGCAGCCTATAAGGGCTCAGAGCTCGGCTTCATATTTCTGTAGGCCTGGGCCAAGCCTGGAGGCCACGGCTTTCACTCTTATTTGCAGTCTGTGTGCGGCAATTACCAAACAGCTGTACAGTTCACACAGACCGCTGTATGGGGGCCTTGTAGCCCAAAATGAATGTAAGTTTTTTTCACATGGTCCCACAAGTCTATTCTGATGGTGAGGAAGCACCTAGACACCCTAAATGTGTTCCTGTGCCATCAGCCAAGGTAGTTAGTGCAGACAACACTGCTGAACTGGAATTGCCCTCCCACAGGAATGCTCATAATGCCAGTCGCACTGCCAGCGCTGCCTTGCGACCTTCCTCACACACTCAAACTCCCATCACTGAATTTGAAAGGGATGATCATGAGTCCAATGGTGAATTGAATTTGAAACGGCTCAGCAAAGGTATATTAAGTTTTCTTGTTTTGACATGTACTGACCAATATGTGCCGTGCCACCAACAGGAAAAAAATGCGCGCGCACTCCCAAGGATGACAATGAGTCACCACCTCCAGATGAACCTGATATTCCTCATGTTCGTGCTGATGATGATGTCGACGCTGAAGGCTTTCTCAAGGACATCAAGGTGATGGATATCGACGAGCCTGAAAAACCACGCCAAGAGCATCGCAGCAAGGACATTAATAATTTTTTTTTCAGCTCCTTATGCCAGCAACTCAGAGCCGGGAAAGAAGTTTCGCAAGTGCGAATTGTGCAGGTAATGAATAATATTCTATTTGTGATGTAGCACTAACTAACTGAAACTAGCAAGAAGATGAAAAAAGCGGTGGCGCTTGTCAATGAAGTGACAACGATGCGACGACATATGGATGCATTGCACCATGTAAGTACTCAACTTGGGTGGGATGCACTGCTGACCATGTTCATTCACAGGACGAATATATTCAATGGGCCCAAGCAAACAAGTTTGTATCCATGCTACCGAGGGATACCAAACGCCGCAAGTTAGAGGCTGCTGCCACTGCCAAGAATCAAGCTCGGCTCAATGGTCACCTTCACAAGCAGGAAGAAAAAGATCGTATTGTGCCATATTCGGACTTGCTCTTTCGCGAGGCAGCTATTCAATGGCTCATCAAAACAGATCAGGTATGTGTCTATTTTGTTGGATTTGGATCATGCTTATTTATTCAAATGATACAGCCTGTTGATGCAATCCACCATAAGGCCTTTAAGTACATGATCGATGTGGCGGTGCGTGCTACCAATGGGGTCCAAGTCCCTGGTCGACGCCAGACACGTCGAGCTATTATTGATCTTTTCAAGAAATATTTAACAAACCTATGAGCATGATTGCTGGTACATATTCAGATATACTTCATACTGACTACTACTGATGTCGAGTTGTGATAGAGTGATGCAGTCAAAGGTCGAATCAATGTCACATGCGATGTGTGGCAAGCATCCAATGTGGATGGCTACTTTGCAGTCACTGGATCCTGGATCGAAGAGTCAACGCCTGGTGAATGGATGGTGCAAACAGCACTTCTCGGGTTCACGTGTCTTAACAATGCACACAATGGAAAGAGGCTCGGACAAGCACTGTCAGTGTAGCTCATAAGGTTCGTGATAGTTAAGTTTGACATTGGTGATTCTGAAACCATTATAGATTGGTTATATAATGTGCCATAACGCCGCAAACAACGACATGATGATGACACATTTTGGTAAACATGTTGAAGATTTAACCAACAAGAAGTTTGACACCAAGAAACAGCGTTTACGGTACGTGTTCTGGCATCATTCATTGAAAATCTATGTTAATTTAACTATAGTTGTCTTGCACATATCATGAATCTTGCTATGCAGGCATTACTTGCAGCACACAGCAAGTCCGACCATTTTGACCCAACAAAACCTGACATGGGTCTCGTCGCATCTCGTGGAGTACAGCGCGATGAGGTGGGGTTGGTTCGGGCCATATGTGTTAAGGTTCGTGTACTCAGACCTTTATTACGACTCACATCTAACGAAGCTTTTTTTAAACAGGAACGTTCATCTGCTCAGCAAAAAGAACTCTTCAAAAATATCCAGCTGCGTGATGAAGATGGACACATCGTGCCAAGTGGGACACCGAAGCAACTCTTGATGGACATGAAGGTTCGTTGGTCATCAACGTATGTCATGCTCGAACGAGCAGAGAGCCTCAAGGAAGTACGTCAATCCCTACTAATCCCCTTATCACCATTCAGCTTACAATTTTACAGGATGTCGACTACTTTGTTGGCTGAATGGGCCTTCTTGAGAAGGATCCCCAGTGACGAAGGAAAATTACCAGTGGGATACTACACTGATCGAGGATGTTGAAGATGTTGATTTACAGAGTGAGGTAGATGACACTGAGGATGGGGAGGTAGTTATACTCGTGCTAGACGAGAATTGATCATTTTCTGGTCATAAGCCATGGCCTAGGCCGAGCCGAGCCTGAGCCAAGCCTGAGCCGTCTATGCAGGCCCGGCTCGCATTTTTTCAAAGCCTGAGCCTCCTCAGGCCGAGCCCTAGCCCCGGCTTTTGAGCCGAGCCGAGCCAGGAACAACACTAGCTACTCAATGTCATGTACTGTCAATGATTGTTTTTGCGCTTGAAAATTTTTCGGTTCAGTTCACATTCGGACCAGAGAAAAACTGAACCGGACCGCAAAGAACGGTTCTCAACGGTCCGGTTCTGGGTTCGATGATTTGGTAGAACCGGACCATGGTTCAGTTCTCGGTTCTCAGAGCCTCTGAACCGGACCGAACCGGACCGCGGCAGCACTAGCCGTACTACCTAGACACTAACGCTCGTACTTAGAGACTTACTGTGACGCTGTCTAGGTAGATCGTAATCTCAGTCCGTTACACGAGCTGAGGAGACTGACTGTGACGCTGTCTAGATTTAACACATTGTTCTGCGACGTGCGTAACCGTGCTGTGTTAACACTGCAGCTCCAAAATATATCGACATGCATGAAATGTATTCGTCTGTCCTTCTAGATACAAGTTTTGTCGATGCCAACATTTCCCCTCACTCACGTACAGTTCAGAAGATACTTGGTAACCGAGCTTTCACACTTGAGAGGATCACTTCCCGACGCTGGTTTGCAGAACGCGATCTCCCGAACGTGGGCCTCTCAACATCACACTCTCACACCAGCGTTTCCTTGCGCTCGTAATCTTGAATCATCGAGTTTGCCATCGCTTTGAAACCCTTCCTTTTGTTGTTGAGCTTGGTCTTGCGCCAGGGTTCGATCATCCATTCCAGAGAAACGGAACTCCGGCGTCATACGGGATCCGATCATTTTACTTTACTAGTCTGCTACTTGTCTCTTCGCCTCCAATTCGGACTATTGTCACTGTCTTCCCTTTTGCCATACAAAGTGTGATTTCATTACCCCGAGATAATATACGATCACCCCAAGATAATATGGTCACCCCGAGATAATAAGACTACATATGATGCACACCAACATATGGACACCCTGACAAGATGTGATTGATGTGGCGTTTGTTGGCACGTCGGTGTTTGAAATTACTTATCTCTGGGCGTATTCGATGTCCCGTTCTCCCCTGAATGTATGCATGCGCTCATCAAAATACAAGAACAACATCCCTAAAAGCGTCTGACTCACAGGTGTCTTCTGATCATCTTCGTTAGCTGTCCATTTTTGACAATTGTCCACGAACCACAAAGATAAGCTCGAGAGGGGTGACTGACATGTGTCTGTGACTCCACTGGAGTCAACCTCTGCCCGTTAGTTGGGTTGCGTTATACGCCCATGCAATGTCCGATGTTGACTGGGCATAATCCTCGACTTCGCAAGGACGTACTCTTTCTCGTTCTGCTCGGTAGTAGAACAAGGCCGTATTTCCACCAGACGACAGCTCTGCGACCTTCTTGGGGCGCGTAAAGAACGCACATGCCGCAAGATGGTCTCGTCGACAATCGAAACGGTCGGAACCGTGGAACTAATCCATACATGATACGCTAATCAGTACTTATGGAGGAAAGGATATGTTGACAGGGAATTTAACGATACAGCCTAGACGGCGATCAAGAAAGAGCGTGGGCGACCCAAGACTGCTGAGTGCCATAGTAGAACGCGGCCTGATTCCGCCAGATGACAGACTCTAGATCTCAACGACCTTCTCGAGGTACGCGCATCATCGATTAACATAATCAGAGACACCCTTACCTCAAGAAGGTCTCATTAACAATCAAAATATCAATGTTTCGTGCCACCGTATAATCCAGACGGGACACTGTATAGTGATCAGAACGGAGTAAAGGAAATATTAATAGACAAACAGCTTACAAAACAATGCAGACAAGACGGCGATCAGGGTGGAGGAAAGAGTGGAATACTAGTGGACTGCCAAGTTCATGCTCGAACGTATCATCAACATGCAGGTAAATAATACACCCAGAAAACCAGAACCAGACTGCGGACGTCGCCGCATCAACATTGCCGAAAACTTGACCGATCTTCCCCTCGACTAACCATAATATCGGCACTATAGTGGAACGCAGCCGGATTGCACCAGACGACGGTGCACAGACTCTGCGACGCCCTTGAGGCACGGGTGTCGCCGGTTAAACCCTCGTGTTTGGTGCCGCAGAATAATCCAGACAGTACACAATCTGCACAGTTATCAGTATGAGGAAAGGAAATATTTTCAGATGTGACTTAACAATGAACGGCTCAAGATTCTTGAGACTGCTAAGTAACCTGTGATCGACAGCCATCTAAATGCCCAGACCGATCTTACCACGATGTCGATCACCTTCCTGACGCCACCTTAGCCTGATGATAGGGGCTGTCAGAACAATGATCGACGGTCGTGCGAGTTGTCACACTGACTCCAGTATCCCAAAAGATCTTGGGCTTGAGAGTGTTTGTGCGATGTATTTAGTTCGCGGCTGATGCGACATTCATCGTATGAGGGTTATGTGAGGGACGGTACTAGTAGTAATGTTACCCATCGCTCACACAACACTCACTATTGCTAGGAGGTATTGAACCAAGAGGTAAATGAGTCACACTCGGAGAAATTCGAAGAACCAACCAAACATGTACAAAGTTTGAGGATGCAAAAAAACTACAAACCGTTGATCAATGATCATCGATCATCACCAAATCATTACGCCACATAACGGTCGCTCATGTCATTACTATTCTTGTTCGACCCAGCAGGAATGATTTCCAAGCAGTTCCAAGCACACGAAGTGACATTCAAGTGACATCCCTGAGTTTCTTTCGTCATTTCGTAGCGTCGAACGTGCATTACTTATTCTCACTCTCATATCAGCCACCTCATTTTGTGGAATGCATTTAGTAGTGACACCACGTTCCTATCAACTGACCCTTCTTTCTTTTCGCCGCCAGTCTCGTGACTGCTGAAACAGAGATCGGACCCCCCGCCCTAACACCACCGCAACTCCTGTCGTTGTTTCGTCCGTGACTCCGTATCTGAACCCAATGAACTTCATGTGGTCTTTACATCACGGCAGTTTAGCCAACTCTGATAAGCGTTGCATGTACGCACTCCCCCGAGCTTCACATTCGTCATTGACGATATCGTGCCTACAAGCAGTGTAAGTAACATGACTCGGCTCCAATCGTGCTGAACAACATGCTTTTGTGGAGGATGGTTTCTCGTTAACAATGTTTTAATGGACGAGAAAACTGCATATCGGACTGATAACCCCTCCCAGCGACGAGACCGCTTGGGACGGGGAGATAATATAAATGCCATGGCGCAAGAGAACGTCTCAACCTTCGCACCTAAGGTAGAAAGTAAGTTGCCGTTAGATATGCTATCTTCCCCAACATCGGATCACAGATCAGTAAATATTAATGAGGTCTTCAGATTTTTGTATCTCAACGAGAGAAGAAATGACACCATATGCTACTTCCGGAATGTCCTGTGACGAGCACAAGCGCCTCGCCGGTCATGTGCTCAATTCTCGTTGACAAGAATGTGAGGGACCGTCTGACCTGGCGAAGATAAGGTGCTGTTTATCTTGGCTGAACTTTCACCGCCAAGCTTCAAGGTTTATAGGTCCTGCTGTGCTGCTGACCTCTTCGCGCGAATTCGGTGCTTGCCTTGGCTATTGATAAGTAGCACGAAGTACAATGGCTCAACAACAAATGAGAGTGTATAGATCGTGTCTTATATCCAACACAGAAAACCAGCAGCTTCTGATATACGAGCATCGAGACACCGTCTTACATCAAAAGATGATCTTTTGCAACTTTTGCAGGTCCGCTGGAGGTTCTAAAGTAGTTGACTGTCCAAAGACGCAGCGAAGTTTCCGCCTCGAAGTGACCTTGTTCCTCAGGAGAAAGGTTCTACTCGATTTGTCGCGAAGCTGGTCTCGAGCCCAAGGTGGGTAGAAAAAAGGAGTTGCTATGTAGCCATTCAAGCAACCTATTTCGACCGATAAAGTTGCGAAGAAGTTGCTGTAACGTCACCTCGGCGCAATCGAGGCCTTTCCTTTCGAAGCACTTTGACGAGATCATCAAGAAGTACTTTATGAAGCCAAACGGACCTGCAACTGACGCCGCCAACCTTATGTTGGAAATCAACCCCTCAATATCGTAGCATCTTTCTTTCTTTTGTTTCTGACTCTCGTTCACTACGCCAGCGGACTTACCAAATGTAGTAATTTGTTACGCTTCTCTTTCCCCCAGTCTCTTACACTCGACTGGGGGTAAGTCATATCCTACGATACCTAATACATTCCTTATTGATGATACAGGACTCACAAAGTCCTGTCTCTTTAGACGTATAACGTCGTTTACTTTATACCGACTCGATTTGATTTTACGTCGAGTTGAACTCGGTTCAGTCGATGGAAAGAGCCGACGGCCATGACATTGACACAACGCCGCGCTGGATGTCAAGAATAGCACACCCTGTTGGTCCGACATCTCCCTGCATGGAATAGCGCGGTTTTTTACAGTTTAATCGATGCAACGAAGTACACACGATTGTGCAAAAACGAGTGGTCGAGAATTAATTCAACGAGGTACATAATTGATATTTCATGCATTCTGATCAGCTAATATGGACAAGTATGTATTGAACAAAATTAATACATGTATATGATCTTTCTGCAGGCAGTCTATCCGTTACACTCATGTTCGGACTCCTGAACGCCTGTACGTGATATTAATCATAGACGATAACAACCAGGCTATAAAGGGTTGCCAAAACTTCTTCCCCAGCAGCTTTAGCCCTCGATCCTTCTTTTTGCTTGGTGTAAGATGTCGGATATCGTCGAAAAGCCCACTCTGGATCATTACGAGACGTCCAGTACCTTCCACGCGACTCGAGTCAACGGCGTCTCTGCCACAGGCATTGTTAACTTCGCTGACTGCGACCAATGCACCCGGTACCCCAATCGATGGTCAGGAATCAGGTAGTGCCAAACCTCAAATTATTGACGCTTGCTGATTGAACCTGTTTCAGGGAGCATATCAGCGCACCTGCAGCCGAGTTCATGGGTGCCTTCATCCTATGCCTGCTTGGGTGTGGTGGCAATTGCCAGGCGAATCTTTCCGCTAACACAAGTGTGTCTGCCAGCCCTCGGGGGGTGAGTTCATGGCGCTAAAAGTCATGGATGGACTGAAGCTCACTAGTGCTTGTTCAAAGGACGCTCTCACGTCTAACATATGTTGGGCCCTAGGTGAGTACCCTTGTATTTTCGTGCGTCGGCATCTTCCTTAAAAGTTCGTCAGGACTCTCCCTTGGTGTATGGATGTCTGTAAACTACTCGGGTGGTCATTTGAACCCCGCAGTGAGTGCACCATCAATATTTTTGCATGAAATGATTGCCGACTACCATCAAGGTCACTATAGCATTTGCCACTGTCCGCGGATTCCCCTGGAAGAAAGTTCCCATCTACCTCCTTGCACAACTTCTAGGAGCCTTGTGTGGATCAGGTGTAGTCTACGCGACTTACTACCATGCAATCAACATCGTTGAAGGGGGTTCCAATATTCGTACAATTTCAGTAACTGGTAACCTTTTTGGGACCTACGCAGTGAGCTTTGACCTCCTGTTGCGGTATGACTTCCTTTAGCTTATGAGCGTATAGGCCGATTACCTCCCTTCAGTCTCCGCCTTCTTCGCTGAAGTGAGTCCATGCATAACTAACAGTCCTCAATTAAATGCATACTGACAACCGGATGTAGTTTATAGGGTCCGCTATGCTCATCACTGGAATTTTCATGGCCACGGATAAAAAAAATGGCCCTACGCCTCCCGGCGTTTTCCCTGTTGCATTATTTTTAATACTCCTTGCCATTGGTTCATCTCTTGGTATGGATACTGGAGCCGCCCTTAATCCTGCTCGTGACCTAGGCCCCCGTATCCTTACCGCTATGGTTGGATATGGTCGCGAAGTCTTCAATTTCAGGAATCAGTATTGGCTCTGGTGCCCTATCCTCGGCCCGATTCTTGGCATGATTGTGGGCGCATTCTTCTACGATGCCATGCTCTACAGGGGCACCGACAGTATTTTGAATAAGCCGTGCGTTTTAATATCTGTGTATGATGTAGATATTAATAACCCGCTTGTTTTTAGGACGAAAGAGGCTGAAAGGCACCACTTGCACTCATGCGTTCAACGGACCAACAAACTTCGTGGAGTTGCAGACTCAGTTTGATGACGTTGATGACCGAATAATGTTCCAAGTGGGCTGTACTTTTTCGTTGAACTTTCGATGACTTTTATATTATAATCTGTTGCTGCATGTTTTCTACATTCACGGATAGTGCACGCTCTTGTCAGTGAAGTGATGGTGGTAGCAGCGGTAAGGTATACGACACGAAAGCATACTCGTTGCTGGCGCCAGACATGTTGACCCATGGTTACGAGTGTGTATTCACGTAGTTAGCTTTACACAGTCTCTCGTGTTCCTTCTATACTATTCATTATGACAACTTTTCAATTCAACTGGAGAAAATGGAAACTTATTCTGACACTTCAGTAGATCAATCGGCCACTTCAACCTGTGAAGCCAGCATCAAAGAACTTGCTTATGACTGTACTTGGTGCCGCTGAGCTTTGTATCCTCTAAAGAAAGATAAGTTTTTGTTCTATTGAAGTCCGTGCAATATCATTGATTTGTGTTGGCCTTCTGGTGGGAAGCTTCCGGGCCCGGATGACACTAGAGGACTACGATGGATCGTTACACTGCGAAGAATATGCGTTCGAACTTCTTTTAGTGTTTTCAGACCAAGCAGACTGTGACTGCATCAAAGGGAAAGTCTCTCCTTTTATGCCTGACTAACTTGATATGATAGGTATCGTTGTTCTGGTACCAGTGAGTCATGTGCTACTTTCGTTCATTCTTAGTCCTCATACATCGCACGAGTCGACTACCCGGTGTTCGTTGAGTAGTTCCGCAGTAAAACGCAGCCAGATTACACAAGACGACGGTGCAGACTATCTGCAACCTCTTGAGGTACGCACATCGACGATTAGCTTCATCAGCATGCGAACCTCCATAAGGTCTCATCAATGATTGGAATGTTTGATGCCACCGAAACTAATCCACACTGATCAATATGGAGAACAGGAAATATTGACAGACAACTTAATGATAAAATGCGGGATTTGGCCAGTCTACATGAAGTCTACGCAGACTGGACGCAGCACAGACTTTGCCCAGACCTGTCCCACAGAGTCTGCGGAGATTTCACACAAATCGGTCATATTCTATATGCCCTCGCTTACCGAAGTCTGAGCCCCCAAGTCTATAACAATAAGTAATACATCGTGATTCCATTTCATATCTCCCGGTACCGCACGTATGTAGAAAATAAGTTGATCGCTGACGCATGAGGCTCTAAGTTGTATTGTATGGAAATTTCCGAGTGCCAGTTGAATTGGTACAGTTCCGTGGATACGGTCACACTCTCTAGAGTTGAGTCTTCAAATATCATTCGGCTCTTCTAGCGGTTCTTGGAACCAAAGCCCATATGATGGTCAAGAGGGCCATCATCGAAACGAGACTTTGGTTAATTGGTTTTGGCACAGGCAGAACTATTAATAACACTCACAATGGCTGTAAACTCTTGATTCCCGTCTTAGATGCAATGGCACCCGTTAAGAACGGTAAGAGCGCAGAACCTGCTTGTCCGAACCCTGCTATCCAGCCGATCGACCCTAGATTCAGGTTTCAGTTGACCATACCCATACTACTAAACACGAGATTACCTGTGACGAGCCACTCGGGGAGGATGCGTACTGTATGATTCATAGCGATGGGGTACATCGGTCCCAAAATTACACCCATCATTGCGATCGCCACGCCTCCGCCAACGAGCGAAGACACCAGCCATACTATTAGCTCTAGCCCAATTGCGAAGATGGAGTAAATGAACAAGACACGACGTTCCCCGACCTGTGCATCCATTAATGTTGCATCTTACGTGGACGGGATATCGACTTGCCTTTTTGTTCACCCACAAAAGAACGACGCGGCCAATCATGATACCTATTTGTGGATATATAGTGGAACCCCCTAACATGCTCGAAAGAGCTTACCTCCCCAAAATCCTGATGAGATATATCCCGAACTTGGACCTCCACCGCGCACGTCGATGATGTATGTCACCATCCAGCCTGAACCATCACCAATCTGAGTGAACATCCTTTACACTTGAGTTGCATACTCACCACCTACAGTGACCTCCACTCCTACTAACACCAATATGAAGAAGGCGAGGAGGTGCACTTCTCTGAGTCGCAATATCTGATTGAACTGGCTACTTTCACTCGTGCCCTTGTCGCCCGCTGGCTGTCCAATCTGAGCAAGGCACTCTGTGAGATGCTTAGCCATTTCCTCAGTGACATGAGTGCTCATCATACCATCCTGTGTTTTGAGCCCAAAGACTGCAATCAACGACACAATGTTCATGAACGCGACACTGAGGCTGCATAGGTAGTGAAATGACCAATGCGGGAGCTGAGCAAATTGTGTTGCTACCAAAGGAGACGACAAAGCACCAGCTCCTAAATAAAAAGGATCTTAATCACGGTTTTACGTTGCACCACACGGAAGAAGGTATAACTCACCGTATACCTTTTCAATAGCAAGATAAATTGAGAGCTCACGTTCAAGACAACACTTACCGCGTGGAGGATCCCCATTTTCGTCTCGGGACTATCCTTGAGACTGGCCACAAAACCATTCGATTGTGCGTCCTAGTTCCAAGATCATTTGGGCTGCAGAATCACTTGTGTTACTTACCTGTAGTGCCATTCCAAAGCCATTGATGGCGTAGCCTAGTACGAATGCAGGAAATGGCAAGGCAGCTGATTCTATGGCGTACGCTACAACTTGACACGCTGATCCTGAACAATAATAAGGCGACTATGGCCTCAACGTAGTAATTGGTCTCACCAAGCACAATCACCTAAACCACGGAGCCTACCTCAGAGATCGTAAAAAATGATCATCGAATCGGATGACTTACCTTTCCGAAGCCGAATCTACCGTCCAGATATAGATTTGCGAGTGCTCCAGATAGGAAGCCCTATCCAGTAACTCAGACGTCAGTGATTCTTGTATAAAAGTGAAATCGTACAACGCATGCGATGACAAATATCAGAGATACGACAGCGAAATTCAGCTGTCAGGACGGTAGGACAGTCAACTTCAGAGATAACTGCAGGCGTTCGAAACTACCTACACCATACACTGCTTGTATCCGAGGGAGTAATGGACCAGTAGTCCCATCATTCCATCCAGCTAGGTACATCGACCCACAAACTGTCGCAAACTGCACTCGTGCGCGCAGCCGCTGACCTTTTGTTTTCACTTTCAGGTCAGAGATAGATGCTGCTCCTGAACCACTTGCAGACGACCCTACTCGCGTTTCGATTTCTTCATTGTGTTTGTCACTTTCTTTAACATCATGATGAGGGTCAACCGTCGGATGCCGCAAAACCGTATGACCTTCAGCGATCTTCGTCATCTGCATATTGAGTTCTGACTTCGTATACGCGAACTACAGCCTGGGCAGTGGGGAGGTTTTCGGATCCAAGACTATGACTGGGCAAAGAAACTTGCGGGTCGAGTATGTTCGAGTGGGCAACAGACAAATATGATATTGACAGCACACCTTGCATTGGAAATAGGATGTGGAGTATTCTTGACACAACAGGCTTGACGCAGCATGATTGATGTGTGACGCGGAATTGACGCGGCATAATCGAGGTTTCACGTGGCATGATTGAGGCTTGATGCGGCATGGGAGATCGTGGGAGATCGTGGGTAAGGCTTGACGCGGCGTTGACGAGACATGGGTGGGATTTGACATGGACTGACACGGGCTGACACGATATATATGAGGCTTCACAGAGCGGGAACATTGACGCACAACTAACGGGTGGTGTCACAGTATATCAAAGCCAATCTTCACTGGACCACCATGAAAGTCAGTAGCGACAGCAGAGGTCACGTACTACAGCCTACAGGGTGATACATCCTCACTGTACGAGTCCACATATAACAAGCACCGACTGTAACGCGGTGGGACTGTTTAGGGGAGCAAGTTATTGCTCTCGGTCGTCATGGTCAGAGTCAGAGTCTTGGTCTGAGTAGTCGTAGGATGTATAGCAGGTGTTCCCGACGAGTTGGATCTATGCGAACATGGGAGTAGAAGCGTCCATGTTCTCAGGGCTTGAGCCACTAGCACTGGCGCTACCTTGAGCAGCGCCAACAACTCATAGGAAGGGACGCTGAGGGAAGCAAGGGAAGGGGCTTTGTGAACCCGTCAGTGTCTAAGAATTGAGCGAAGAAGACGTTGTCTGCGCCATTAGATGGGGGTGGAATTCAGAAAAAGAAAGGGTTGCATCAACCTTTGCAAGCTCGCGGTTAGACTTACATGTTGGCAAATTTACTTCCTGGAAAGCTCGGCACCGCCGTGTCTGATCCCTGTCACAAACTCCCCAATTAGCATATGACTGTCCGTCGTACATTGTCAAAATGTAGGGTACCATAGCAGTCGAGCACTTCCCTGAATGTATGCATGCGCTAATCAGAATAAAAGGTGCACAACGAATCTGAAAGTTTCCGACTCACAGCTCTCTTCCGACGACCTTCGTCAATCCATGTACGTGCGGACAACCGTCCACGAACTGGGCAGAAGTTGGCTGGAGAAGGGTGACTTGACATGATTAAAAAATCATCTCCCGGCTCGAACCAACTTCTGCTCGTTAGTTATGTTATCTGACACGCACATGCAATGTACAATGTTCACTGGGCATGATCGTCGACTTCGCGAGGACATACTCTTTCTCATTCTGCTCTGTAGTAGAACGCAGCCGGATTTCAGCCAGACGACAGACTCTAGATCTCTGCGATCTTCTCAAGGTACGCGTGTCGTTGATTAAAGAAACAACGACACTGAGACCTCAATAAGGTCTCACCAATAATCATAATGTTTGGTACAGGACAGGACACTGTGCATGATCAGTAGGGAGCAAAGAAGATATTAACGGACGGCTTAACGATGCAGAAAAGACGGCGACCTATGGAAGAAAGAGCGGAAATACTAGCGGGCTCGAGACTGCTGAGTTCCGTAGTATAACACTGCCAGATTCCACCAGACTATCTGCGACCTTCTTGAGGTACGCATGTTGGTGATCAACCTACATCAGCTGCGAACTTCCAGGTCTCATCGACAAGCAGATTGTTCGTTCCCACCGTATAATCCAGACAGGACACAGTGCTGCAAAGGAAATATCGACAGACAACTTACACAGACAAGACGGCGATCTGGATGGAGGGGAGAGCGGAGATATCGCAGCTGGTAAACAACTGAGTTTTTCTCGAACCCGCTGTTGAAAAGCAGGCATCTAAACACCCCAGAGAACCAGATTGTTGAACACTTGATTGACCGAACGATCTTGACGCTCGATCATTTCTCTGAGGACGCCTAGCGTAGAGAAGCTACTAGCCCTCAGAACAATGATCGAGGATCGTACAAGTTGTCAAGTGCAATAGAAAGTCAACACTCTGAGTCGCTGACTGTCATGTATTTTCACCAACAGCGAGCGCCTCAGCGGGACGGTCATCCCCAAAGACTCGCCTCGAGCGCTACAGTGTTGGACATGGTGAATTTCGTTGGCGGTAGAGTTGACCACGCTAACAAGATTCATCATGTGAGGGTTGTGTGAGGGATGGTACTAGTAGCATGGCACTTACTCACTATATATGTAAGTATCGAACCACAAGCAAGTTGGAACAATTGGAAAATCCTCAACATCGACCAAACACGTACAAAGTCTGAAAGTCCAAGTCCCCCCGCTTGGTCAGTCCCCATGCACAGCCACCATGTTCAGCCGCCAGCTCGTAATACCCAAGTCCCACACGGGAAAACCTGTAGACCGTTTATACCTCATCGATCGGAGTTGTACCGTGGAGGTGAGCATATTCTGCTTCGCCCGTGTTACACGCTTATTACAATATCCCGTTCAAGCTCAAGGTGAAGGCTATATCCATTTCCTACGGCTACAACTTTTTGGCAAATATCCGGTCCATCGATTTCACCGTCAACACAAGAGTCCACTATAGTGCGTGTTAATTAGTCGCCGCCAACTTGTGGCAGTTCCCCATAGATACGAGGGATTTGACTGTGGATACATGCGTAGCCCTATAATGCGAACGTGTCCAGTGACTCAGAAAGCGAGCAAGAACTCGATCACACGCCAGTCGTTTAGGAGATCTTCAGGCAGGCGGATCGACTTTGCTACAAAAATTCCATTACGAGCTCAACGTCATCGGGGGTCATGTCAAGAGGTACCATCACCTCGGAGCACTCTGATCCTACTTTCGAGATCCTGATTCAGAAATAGAGGAACATCCAATCATGCGAGCATCGGGCGCACTGGATTGGATGTTTTGGCTGCTTCCTATACTACGTGTGCATAAAACTAACGTACTGGCTTCCGACTCAATAGCAAAACCCATCAAGCCCGAGCCCTCTCTTGGATCCCAACTATGAAATCCATCTCACTCGCCACTTTGATCATGTCTGCCACAGTGATAGCTGGGGTAGCAGCCGATGCATCTAAAATCACCCCCGTCGGCATATTCTGCGGCAAACCTGGTAAGTACTCTTGCAACCTAGCGTGTTCTGGACGTGTGGACCATAGAACGCGTGCTTACGCCTGCTCGTAGGCAAAGTGGAGTGCGGAAGTCTCTCCGGTTTTAACAACGACAACGATTATTTGTTTTATTGTGGATCAGACTCCGTAATTGCGAGTTTTATTACATGCGACTGTGTTTTTTGCTGCAAAGTAACTGGTGATCTATCTGGCAGTTGTTGATGAGAGTGAATATGGTTATTACTCACTGTGTCCAGTGCCTGGGGTGAGCCATATTCTTCTCGTTGCCTCCCAGTTCTAATACTGATGTGGTTGTTTTCGCCAGAACGTTAATGTAGCATCATACGCGTGGAGAAGTGCGGTAGCCTGGTGTCAATAATATGCCATGAATTTCTAAGGCTAAGTCTGCTGCCTACGACAATGCAAAACAAATGAGCGAGTCCACCATCATGAAATGCCTTGGATCGCGAGATCCTACCGATACTGTCGTAAGGGAAACGGAGATATACTAAGAGATATGATAGAAGAAGGTAGATTTATGAAGCGGGGTCATGCAACACCGCGAGAAGATATTTTTCACCTCCCAATATGTATTTAGTAGAAACATCATCCGAAAGCAGATCTTCTGACCCGCTCACTTCCTCCAAAGCTCTCAACCATCTTGCCTATAACGTTCGCGTACTTCTTCTTCCTCAAAGACAACGCCTGAATGATGTATGATACTAACATTGTCCCCACGCGAAAGGAGGAAATATCCGAGGACAGAATGATGCGATGATAATAAAGCGAGCGTCTGCTCTAGCTCTGGTGGCATAATACTGGGTGTAGAAGCGTGAGTAACACCTGTGATTTTTGTGCTCGTCGTCGCTTTTATGCCTTGTATGCGAGTTGGTCAGTGGAATGGGCGAAAGAAAGAGAAGTAGGCCATTGTATGAACTGTTCGAATACACAGATTGTATGGTTCAATGAATCAAGGTTCAACATTTCGGGAAGTGAACGTTGTTTGGGTCAGAGGGTGTTGCCAAACAAACGCCTATACTTTGTACTTAGCACTGCTTGCTTTCACCCAGACCACTACATACTCTAATGGTTATGAACTACCGATTTCTCACATGCATCCCCCAGAAGTAAAGGACAGCCAAAACCCGTGGTCGTTCAACCACCGTACTCGAGCTCGTATCGCATTCGACTCTGAATCAGACTCTGAATCCGAGGCCGAAACCAGCTCTAAAGCCAATATCCCCTCCGACGACTCCAAACTCATCCAAGAGCTCGACATCTCCTCGCGGCACGAGACTGTAGAGTACAAACCCAATCCCTGGAGCATCGCACGCATAAATGCTGCCAGTCGCCCCCCGAATCAAGAACCCCGTGCCCAGGAGGTCTCCGAAGATACACGACGAAAACAACATCAACGGGCGCCAAAGGGTCGAATTGTGGATGCGTTCAGAGTTCAAGCAGAACGAAAGCCGCCTCGTGCACCTGCACCTTTGAAGGCTCCCAAGGCCAAGGATACACAGCCCAAGTCGAATACGCTCCGGGTCTCTCGGGAGGATCAAGTTTGTATACAAACCCAGGGAAAGGGCAACGCTGAACTAGGACATTACCTGAAGCACGATATTACCTCTTTTCTTTCCAAAGGGTCCCAAACCAGACCTTCTCACACGCCGGCTATGATTCTATCGTCAAAGGCTCCCCAGGAGGACCTCCGCGATCTGCGACTCAAGCCTCGTCCTTGCATTCCAACGTTACCTTTTCCCCTAGTTAGCAAGCGAGAATATATTCACATGAGTGAGGAACCTCCTTTGCAACGAAGCATGGCGCATATATCCACCCCCGACGCGAGTCGGATGTCGCAATCACGATTTAACGTTCCATTCATGTCTATGTCATCCCCGCCTTACAGCCGCGACTATCCAGCGAATGTTTCACGCCTTCGAC